GCTAAGAAATTGACTTTTTTCATTGTTTGTGTCAACTTATGCTACTCTCTCAATCAGGTCAGTTCAAAAGGAAACCAAAGGCTTATTTTTTCTGGAGGCTAATTCGATATGAGCGATTGTTAGCTACTAGTTAATATAATTCAAAGTAATGGAGTAACACAATGCTAAAAATTGTGTAACAAGTACCTGGTACAACGTAAAAAAAGATATATGACAGCAATGGTCTCCTTCACGGTTACCTGCGCCATCTTAAAAGGTAGCCGTGCTTTTGCATCGAAGCGAGACAACCGTTGAGCATGCAATGATCATGATAGAAACCTGTGAATAATTGTTTGTAGGTGTGAAAGAAGGTTTCTATCATTGCACACTCAACGGTTGTCTCGCTTCGATGCAAAGGCACGGCTACCTTTCAAGATGGCGCAGGGAACGTGAAGGAGACTATTTGCACTAACTCCGGCCACACATCTGCTATATTATATAATCATATATAAAGTCTTCTTTGGTTGTTTTCAATTCATTAGCATTTCCAATCTGTAATAACGTCTTGTCGATCCCAAAGCTATAAATTTAGATATTTTTTTGTTTTCGTTCGTAGAAGTGCTCACCGGCATAGTCCATAGTAAGATAAGATATATTTTCCAAAAGGTGCCTTGTGCACTAAGAGAACTTATAATAACTTTACAGTTTGGTTTATAGTTGGCAGCCATAAAGTTCCAGTCTAATTGTCATGAAGCTCTTGTATTTCTTTGGCAGAAGTCTGATATACCTGGCAGTTATAGGAGGATCAAGGTTGTTTTTGACAACTGTTGATCGATCGGAATTTCCAGGTAAAGTCTTTCCCCCTTCATAGTCACTGAAGCTAGTTCCATCGTCGCTGTACTGTAGACTGTAGGTTATCACCCATTCATCACACTTTGCGCAACCTTGCGTTGCAATAGCTGTAATTCTGGTTAATTGGAGTAGGTCAACTTGTATCCACTGTCCTACTGTATTAGATTTAGGTATCCATCCACCATCACCAAGTATTGTGTTAAGCCTACCATAATAAGAGAGATACTTTCCACTACTATGGGTAGAGGAAGCTGTAATCTGCGAGTCACGGATGGCCTTACTTTCCATACCAAGTTGCTGCAAAAAATTGATCACAAAAAGAAGATTAACCATCGATAAATCAAATCAGAAAAAAGGCATCTAAAAAATTCTGATTGGCTATTGAACTACGGAATATTTGTGTCAGACCATTGTAACATCGCCAAAAATGTCAAAAAAACGTTGAGAAAAGCAGTTTTATATTATTGTTTCAAATTTATCTCTTATTTTGATGTGTTCTTTAAAAAATATACTAATTTGTAATAACACTTTAATGCCTCAATTTATGGGGGGATTTTAGGTTGTTTTTGAGACTGATATTTCAAAATATTAAATCTACACCATATAAGAAGTTGTCAATCAAACTATTGTATATTAATATTCCCCTGGGTTTGTTTACTTCAGCGACGCCTGGCGAATTTGAGACTGCTCGCTAAATTCGCTCGCTAAATTCGCCAGCACTCGCTCTCACTTCGCCCAAAAACCGTTTTTAAGTGATTTTTCGAGTCATTTGCTGCGACAAAATCCCCTAGGACTGCATTATAGAAGGCAGAAGAAATCAAAGTGGGAAGCGTTTTTTTTTTCTTTTTTTGAAGACAATGTCGCCAATACGAAGTTAGCTTTGAATTGCCAACGTTAGAGAAAGGTCACGTCTCTAGTCGTTCTGTGGCAGATTTCAGAATCTACCAGGTAAAATTGGCAAGTTTTAACATCCAAAGACTGCAATCGGTGCAATATTTTGCCGGTAGATGCGAGTGGCTTGGCACTTAAAAATGAAAACAGGAACGTTGGTTGCTCCCTGTTGAGTTTGAAAGATGTAGGTTGGCAAAACTTCAGATAACGTGGAATTTCGATTTTGAGACGATTTTGACTCTAAAACTTAACACAAAGAGACGTGATTCTCACCCTTATCCGGTGCTTCACAAACTCGAAATTTAGGCATTTCTTTTTGCTAGATGTTAAATGTTTTCAACTGTAAGATTGATTGTAAGATTTTTATTTATACTAGCTGTTGTCAGGTGGTACACTTGGTGGTCTTTTAAAATTTTTCTCGGAAACTTGCTATTTTTTACGCGACCCAGATAATTCCTAAAGCGGAGCGGTAAAGGGATAAGATATACCGATAGTGTCTATGGTCGCTTTATGCATAGAATTATTATCCCAGATCTTTCACTGTTATTTTCAAAAGAGTTGATATGGGTTGATCGAGGAAGTTAATCTGCGAGTCACGGATAGCCTTACATTGCATATCTTGCGAGTGCCTTGCGCACACACAGCCGTATACATGAAGTAAATTAATTAGCTTAAATGAATAGTATGTATGGTTACACAGATAGCAGCTCTGCTATCGATGTACTTGATCTAAGGACCATAAACCTATACGTCAACAAGCACGTATATACCATAACTTAGTTGTTCTAAAAGAAAAAGAAGAATATCAAAATCAATATAGCTATTCCGAAAGAGGGTATTGGATTAAATATTATGAATTGCAATTGTCGAACGGAGCTAGATTTGACGACACGGAAAGGCGTAATGGGAGATAATTACTTTATTATATAATTCAACAACAAAATTTCCTCGGCTCACAATGGTGTGAAGCCATAGTACCCGCCGCTGAGGAATACTATCAGTGCATAGATCCTAATGCTTCAAAATTAATAATAAAATGATAATATAATGATATGAATGTTGAATGATAAAAACAATAGAGCAGTTTAAAAACATCGAACTGCGTTCTTGGGTGACTTGTTTTCGGAACATCCAGCTTCAGCGACAACTATCACAGAATATTTCCAATCGATTCAACTATTATCTAAACATAGTTTGTGGTAAACACTGGCTTCATATAGTCCACACATTTTCAAGCAAAGGGATCCAAATAACCAAAATACTGTCTGTCAAACAGCATTGCCATAGTCCCTTTCGGTCATGCAAGTTTCCTTCGACAACCGCCGTCACTGTTCTCCCTGATGACGTTTTTCGAAAATGGTGTATATTTAAAATACAATAAAAAGTGTTCAGTAGTATTCTTACGTATAAATGCTGTATTAATTCGTCCATGGCAACATTCTTGGAATTTGGTGTGTCTGCCTTACATTATCAAACCTCGTCCACACGAGTCCAAAGATCTTTCTTATAGAAATTTTCGGACAACGCTACTGATACTGTGGAAACGCATGGACGCTCGCGGTTTCCGAACAAAAAACATTAGAGGATACAAAATGTATGATATCGTGTGGAAGGGGCCATAGTGTTATAAACAACTCATAAATTACTGTTACCGAAGCTCAGTGTCGTGTAGAATATCTTTTTCCCCAAGGAATTCACAGCTTCACATTGATAAGATCCACTATCACTTTTCTGGAATCTAGTTATTGTCAGTTTCCCGACATTTTGCTGACTTCGTTTTGTAGGAAGCGAACCAATCACTTTAGTCCAAGCGATAATGGGTGGTGGGTAACCCATTGCAGCGCATTTCAAATTCACAGTACTCCCTTGTAGAATTGTTTGGAATGGCTTCTGTACCTCGGTGAATCTAGGTGGAACTATGGAACAAATTATGTCAGCTGATTAGCCAAACGCGTTTATTGAAAATATCTAACCTGGGTTACCGCTCGAAAACTGAGCCTGCGGACAAAAAACTCAAATAATGAGAAAAATTAAAAAACGTGGATTGAATAATAGGTTAGCTTACGTTACGCTCAGATCCAAATTTTAGCGTTAGTATGTTTCCTATCTTGTTAAAATTTAAAAATTGAACAGGAATATTGATAGTAATTTTGCAATAGCCTCATAAATGATGGACGTGACTTTTTCCTTGAAAGGGGTGAAGGACCAAACAATGCACAGGGCCCAATCAGCGACGTAATTCAGTGAAAATGAAATGCCACAATGTCGAAATACTTGCGAAAGATTGTTGACTTACATCTGACAAGAAGCACTACCGTATTTGCATCCTCTCCAAGAACACTCTTTGCAGAGCATGTGTAGTTTCCTGCATCGTTTTCATCAACATCTGAGATTTCAAGCAGTCCTGATTTATCGATTCTGGTTTTAGCAAAATTAATTTGTTTTCCAGATTCCTTTTTCCATGTTATTTTTGGTTTTGGATTACCAAGGGCATTGCAATTAAAGGCAGCAGTCTGGTTCTGAGTAACTGTCAGTGTCGATGGTGAAATAAGTACCGAAGGCTCCGAAACTTGTTCCCCTCGTTCCCCTTTCGGTCCGGCCGTCAGTCCTGGCGGTCCTGGATTTCCGATATCTCCCTTTTGTCCTTTTAATCCAGGAGGTCCTCGCAATCCTTGTTTACCATATTTTCCAGGAAGGCCTTTTGTTCCCTTAGGACCTGGTCCACCTCTTCTTCCCCTTTGTTCCTCCGGAACTCCACGAGTGCAAATCTTATCAGGTGCTTGACAAAACTGCGAGGCCGTGAGGTTTAAAATGTGATTATGTACTTCCATGCGAATGGAATTCAACACATCTGGAGATATGTTAGGAGTGTTGCGTCTTAAACGTTTGATAAATTGCGTCTGGTCATTATTTTCTCTCTTCAGTGTGAACTTTGTTTCCTCTTCATCTGTTAGCAAGTAAGAAAAAACAAATAGGAGTTGGTGCTGAATCAAAATGTTTAACCTGGTTTCCGGTGACATTCGAGAGTCCTATTTTGATCATTAAGGACAAGAAAGACTGTTTTGAACCTTTGATGGCGTTATTAGTTATAAACACGCTAATACATTGAAATACAGCTAAAAAGCGAAAAAAAAAGTGTGCTTAGGAGACCTACTTCTATTGTATAAGTTAGGCGATAGTCGATGTCTTCTTTGTTATTCTTTTGCTTGTGATGCTTAAATTTCTGCAGTGCATCTCGAAATTATTGATCATGATGATGTTTAAATAAAAATATTAATATTGATAAAAGACTGTTATTTACTATAGTTGCCATTTCATTTATACACCGTACAAACTTGAATAAAGGCTTGATAACTATAACAAGACTGTATTCGCGTCGTTTCAATCGAGACGGAAGTCCCTACCTCGAAAATTACCACATGTCACTTTCATAAAGCAACAAGAATTGAGTTCCATGTCATGCAGCCTTAAGCAATCTTCGACAGTCACCAGACGATGATTTGTTGTGATATACATAGGAACGATGCCTGCACAAAGTAGTAATGTATGCGAAAGGAATGTGATAATGAAGAACTTTGTGTGACTACAAGAATACGTTTTGTCTGGATCTTTTGAAAATGGCATATTGGTGATTCAGTCGACCTGTGTACTGATGAGACTACAGTGTAGTAAGAACGTAAAGAATATAACATTACTTATTAGTCGGACTGGCCGAAGGCGGTCCGACTTTAAATTTACCTTTTAGCCTATCTATCTATCTATCTATCTATCTATCTATCTATCTATCTATCTATCTATCTATCTATGTATTATGTCGCGTTTGGACCACCGGAAGTTAAGAATTTAATAATTAACTATTGGGTTGGCTGTGTTATTACATGACCGGAAGCTCAAGCGTATTGATGTACGAATATCATTAGTAAATGTTATATGCTACTTGGCTTTTATATGACAAAAAACTATTCGTTTACAAATGTGGTATCTGTGATCTCATCGGAATGCGTCTGTCTAGGCATTAGAAGTACGCGTATGTGCAGATCGCATAGAGTTTCGAGTTGTATGCTTACAAAACTGAATCAATATCCTTTCTAGTGTTAGACAGTCTTGTGKGGGCAAAGATTTCAAATTAGAACAAGAAGAAACTTTGTTTATCAATAACAGAAAGGCGAATTTAATGATTTTATAGGCATCTTTTTCCTTGTAAAGTTTTTATTTTCTTTGCCTGAGAGGTCAACGTTTTAGATATCATATCACTTAGCGAGACATTTGTCTGAGCGTAGTTGATTTTATCAGTCAAAGCAAGCCACGTTCTTATCGCGCGTTAATTACATCACCTTTTAGGTCAAGTTTATTTAAAGTCTCAATGAATTTTGCATATTTTGAACTAGACGCTCTTATTAGACCGTGAGTTCGGCTGTTTTGGAAAAAAAAGTAGTTAAGAA